AAATTTTCAATTTGTTGTAAATTCAACAATGCTGTAGTTTTTTTAATTCTAAAATGTCAAAAAAAATCCAGATTATCGTATGGTTCAAATAAATTTTTTCGCCGTTTTAGAATTCGCGGACGTCTTACATCCTCAGAATTATCATCCAAATTGTCCAACATTTCTAACAATTCAATTGCTTCCATAATAAAATAAAAAACAATAATTATACTGTGTAATTGAATTATAATAATTTATACATTTTACAACCTTTATTAGTAATAATAAGTACACACATTGTCATTTATTACAAATGTTAATAACTAGTATATTTTTAACACATTATTTGTTGTGAAAGTTAAAAAAACAATTTTGATTTTTGCTCATACAGAGATGAACTTTACATTTGAAGCATGAAACTCTTGACCTACTCTTACAAGATTCCAATCTGCAACATAAAGAATTTTTTAAAACTTCCAAGACAGGCCAGTGATTAAAACCATCATATCTTTTGTCAGTGCAAAGTAAAGGTGACGGTCTCATTTTCTTTGGACGAGGGTCTTCATGTTCATCTTCTGTGTCCCCGTTTTTTGTATTTGGACTTTTCGTTCCACATAACAAATAATCTGCTAGTTCTAAGCGAAAGGATAATAAATCTTTAATATCTTTTGATTTGTATTTGTTACTTCGGCAGTCGCGACGGTATTCCATCCAACTGTTAACAATAGCAAAATCAAATAGATGTAGGATTACCTTCAATGTCCATGTGCGAATTTTGAAGAAAATTCTATAACACTCCATCATCTGATCGCAAATATCAACTCCACCCATCTTTTCGTTGTAAATCGTTGTAAATTTTAATAACGTTTGGACATGGAACCTCTACACGACTAGCACTAGCTTTATCCCATCGTTTGACTAAATGTGTGGGTTCTTTGCCAAAGGCCGTAGATGCCATTACAACGGATTTATTATATTTCCATTTAGTGACACATATATACTGATCACTGCTAACAACCTGCTCAGAATCGCCTCTTTTCATTTGGTTATCTGTTTTAAATGTAAATCCTTTAAAACGATTGTTCATAATAGTTTCTGTGCCATGTATTTATAGCTCAGATAATTTGAGCAACAAAGGTATCGTCGAAAAATATCTGTCGAAGAATACAGAGCTATTATCCGGTAACGTTTCCACTAGCGTAAGGATGACTGACGGTCCGAGTCCCAGTTATTTATTTCTTAAATTGGTACTTGTTTCTTAATATATTTTAAAATCTAGGATAGTACCATCACATTTTGATAAAACGAAATTTTTTAAACTCACAGGTCTGGGTTTATTTTTTACATATTGCCGAAAAGCACATCGACCAACAAACGGAAACATCTTTACACAAAAAATAGACCCAAGACTTCTTTCAACACCTACGAGAAAAATCACAAGGATGTTTTATTTTGAGTTTTGATTGTCAGGAGAACCTTATTTTGCCAAAGTAACTGATCAAAGTGCGTACTATATACGACAGTTTTACTGTTATAACCTTTCAGTAGGTAAAGGATTGTCGAATGAATCCCTGAACCCCAGTACTGTCTCAATTTATGCCTGGACGGAAGACGAAGCAAAAAAATCATCCAACGAGCTTGCTTCCATTGTATTCAGTGAGTTGAGATCAGCTGATCTCTCAGGATATTCCAACAGGCATACGAAAAATTGAAACAGTCTTTCCTGTAACAGGGCACTCATTCTTTCCTGTCGACAAAGTATTTGGGATGAATGGTGACAAAAGAAGAATATCATTAAATTTTTAAGAAATATGGTATGATTAAGTTAATTTTAAGGGATTAGGTACCGTTGGGCTGGAAACAATCCCAACAGAGGAAACAAAAAGAAAACAAAGTTTTATGAAAACAGCGGCTGAACTTCATTGCAGACGAATAGTTCTTCGAAAAACTAAATTAGAAAACATCGTTGTGAAAGCAGAGATGGCTTCCAATCTTGACACTGGTGCAGAGAGAAAAATTTGTAAGACAAACTGCATTATTGAACAGATCAAATCAAAAGAAATTCGTATTGGTGTGACCCCACAAGCAAAAAAGGTTAAGGAAGCATCAAAATCGCTTAAAAAACATTTTGGCGTAAATTGGAGGGAAATGGTAATTTGCAGTGGTACAAAAACATAATGCAAGCAGAACCTGAAATATCCGCTAAATGTGACGATTCATTTAAAAATAATAGTGCTGATTTTGATGGTTATCTTGTGTTAATTTCAATTTGAATATTACCAAAGTTTAAATATTTTATGTTGGAATATTTTACTTTATATATTTTTAGTTAAATTGCTTTGTAGGTGGGTACTAATGCAACTTGAATAAAAGATTTTAAAATTGGAATTTTTATTTAAAATTCTTAATTTCCTATATAAATATTACAAACAATAAATTTTAAATTACCACCACATTTGGATTCAACATGGGCATGTTTAAAGTGCCAATGACAACTCATTTTTGTTCCAAAAACGGACATCTGTATTTTCAAATATTAATATTAAAATAATTTCATCTATTTCTGATATCAGAATGTACACAAGATTACTTTTAAAGCCTTTACTAAAATTATAGAAAGTGAGATTTTGATAAAAAGAATAATAGCAGCTGTCTACAAAAAAAAACCTTATTTCAATTTTTATTTCAATTTTTCTTGCTTGACACATATTATCCGTCTTTATATATATATATATATATATATATATATATATATATATATATATATATATATATATATATATATACAGTATGGTGGAAATGAAAGGAATAAATTCGTTATTTCGTAAACCGGAGACTTTAAGGAAAAATCCTGAAACCCGTCGATTTTTATTTTTAAATAAGCTATTCGTAAGAATACATTTTTATTTTTGACGTCATCTATGTGAGCATGATGACGTAATTGTTAAAATTTTTGAATAGAAAGGGGAGTATTGTAATACATCATTTAAAAGGTCTTTTTAATACCTATTCAGCAATATCAATATGTCTAAGTAATTAAAGTTTGTAATTGTTTAAAAAAATATTAAAATTTTTATCAATACAATAAATATTTATTAAGTATTATTCAATAAATACAACGAAACCTAAATTAAGTGCTCAAATTGTTTACCTTCAGCTAAAATAAAATCAGAAAGGCGTGCCGCGAACTCTTCTCTAACATTCTCTAAAACTTCCGGAGTTATTTGAACAACCTCATTACGTATTCTTTCTTTCAGTTCATTAATATTTTGTGGTCTGTTTTGATACACCCTACTTTTTAAATATCCCCAAAAAAAGAAATCAAGAGGAGTCAAATCAGGTGACCTAGGCGGCCATTCTATTGTTCCTCTTCGACCTATCCACCGATTTGGAAAGACGTTGTTTAAGCAGTTGCGTACCAAGACAGCATAGTGTGGAGGCGCACCATATTGCTGTAGCCATAAATCATTTCTGTTTGGAAACAACCGGTTCAATTCTGGAAGCAAGAAATTTTGAAGATATTCTAAATATCGAGGACCTGTTAAGTTTTCTTCGAAAAAGTATGGTCCAATACACCTATTATCTATTATTCCCACCCAAACATTAATTTTCTCTGGGTATTGAGTACGGTACTCTTGGATCCAGTGTAGATTTTCCGTAGCCCAGTACCGATGAGTTTGACGATTGACATGACCGTTTAGTAGAAATGTAGCTTCATCAGAGAAAATATTCTTTTTTAAAAACATCGGATCTCTGTTATTTCGTTCCATTATAATGTCACAAAATTTAATTCATCTATCAAAATCATCTTCCATAAGTTCTTGTACTAAACTTACTTTGTAGGGATGCCACTTTTCCTTCTTTAGCTGTTTAAGAACTGTTGAATGGTCCATGTCATTATCTAATGCTACTTGCCGTGAACTGTTATGAGAATTAAATAGAAAACATAACAGAACGTCTACTTGTTCGTTTTCAGATATTGGTTTTCCACTACCTTTAGCAAGGTCTTTAACATGACCCGTTTCTCTAATTTTTTTTTTCAATTTTGCTTACAGTGGATTGTGAAATTGGTTCTCGACGGTGGTATTTATTATTAAATAACGCACATACTTCTTTCTGCGTACGTGTTTTATCTCCATAACCAATCATTATGAGAATTTCAATTCTTTGCGTTTCAGTTAGCTTTATGTTCAAAGATACAAAGACTTTTTAAATACGTTTACTACAATAATACTATTAATCACTTGACAGAAAGATAATTAAGTTTGAATGTCCAACTATCAATGTTCATATTGATAGGGTAACTAGTTTTTTTAAAAGGTAAAAAGTAGATAAAAAAGACATTTCATTACCAGTGATGACCTTTACAAAATTTATTTTTGGGTGTCAATAATACATCATATCAATACTTAATAAATATTTATTGTCATAATAAATATTAAATAATTTTTTTAAACAATTACAAACATCAAATACTCAGACATATTGATATGGCTGAATGGGTATTTAAAAGACCTTTCAAATGAAGTATTACAATACCCCCCTTTCTATTTAAAAATTTTAGCAATGACGTCATCACGCTCACATAGATGCCGTCAAAAATAAAAATGTATTCTTACGAACAGCTTATTTAAAAATAAAAATCGACGGGTTTTATGATTTTTCCTTAAAGTCTCCGGTTTACGAAATAACGAATTTATTCCTTTCATTTCCACCATACTGTATATATATATATATATATATATATATATATATATATATATATATATATATATATATATATATATATATATATATATATATATATTGTTTTATCAATGATTAGGGCTATTTTCAATATAGAGGTTTTAATTAGATTTTTCTTGAATTTTTGACATTTCTTACTTACTGTTAAAATTTCAAGAAAGTCGTTGAATGTTGATGAAATTCAGAGTTAAAAACCTAGGCACACTGCACTATTATCTATTTGAAGAAATCAGTGTTTATCAATAGAAATTAAAACTATAATACATAAAAGATGATGCGTAGGAAAAATTTAATGAAAAAAATTAAAATTTAAAGAAATTAAAGAATATATTTAACACGATTATATCCCTATTATCGAGAACTCAATAAATTAACTTATAATAATTTTGTATATATTTATAATTGTTCAAACCCGTAACTACATAAGAAACACAAATACTCCATAATGATATAAACTAAAATGTCTTCTAGAAAAGTTACACAATTTTTATTTGCTCTTTTCTCCTCCTGTGTAATCATTAAAATCGGCTGGTCGGTCAGGATAATAGTCATAATGTTCCCACAAACCTGTAAATTTTCCGAAAAGAAAAGATGCAATGAAAAAACCAATTCCAATCACCAACGTTTTATTGCGTTTCTTTTGCATTTCAGCATTTTTTTGTGCCCAGTTACCTTCAGGTTGGTGAAAATCATTGTAGTTACCTTCCCATTTGCGTGACGGTGATTTTTGACTGTAAAAGAACACTTGTGTGGGATTTAAATTAAATTTTGGTTTCAATATTGTGTGGTAGATTTGCGCTTTCCACATGTTTGGTTTTAAGTAAGTTATGTCAAAAATTTTGACATTTTACCATAATAGAAGTATAAGGATCTAAGGATAAACAAATATCATATAACCGAATAATAGAAAGGGTGCGATTTCCCAATTTCATTAAGGAAACTGTCGTTCATAATGACACTAGGTTGGTAAAATAACTAAAAAACAGAAATGTACGATTCTGCGAACTAAAAGCAGTAATATTGTGTTTTTTTTATTTATTACTCAATTTACAGATAACATTATACAACTATAAAATACATCACTTACGGATTACAATTATTTTGACATTATTTTAGAAAATAAAAGGAAACGTCAAACAAATAATTTTTTTGATTTGACAAGTATGTCGCTATGTTGAATCAATATAATTTAAATGTACAAAGTGTTTAGTTAACAAGTTTGCAGTAACAGATGAGTCCATGTAAATTAAAATAATTTTTAATATATTGGAAAAAAACTATGTGACTTGTACACATTTCTAAAATATAGGACAAATTAGCAACAACTGTATGTTCTCAAAATTAATAGTGTGTAAATTTTTATTAAAATCAGCTATAGTTTATTTTTATGAGCGAGAGAGTAATTAGCATAATTTTAACTGGTACCTCCGACCACTCCATGGGCGTGCTCAAGAATAATTGAAAAATTACTTTGAATAATTGTAAAAAATAAATGAATTATTTCAGTGTTATAAAGTGTTATGTGTATGTAAACAAAAGTGACCTCTTTTATCACACACTATATTAGAACTGACTGGCCTACATTAAAAAGGGTTTTAAAAATTCACATTTTTTTAATTTTTAAAAATTACAAAAGAGAAAAAGAGTTTTTAAAACCGTCTAAGGTATGTTAAATAGATGAATAAAAATATTAATATAAAACTTACAGCTACTTGTTACAAATCCAAATCAGATTCAGAAGATGAACTTTCAGAACCAAGATTTATAATAACTGGCTCGATCATTTTATCAGTAATATTGTCCAGCTTCCACATTTTTTCCTCTTCTTTAATAGTGTGATTTACTGCCTTTTCCCAGTTTTCAGGTTTTACATTATTTACGGCCTCCAAAAACAACTTTTTATCATGAATTTTAAAAGTGGTATTTTTTCTTGAAACTTCACTCTTTATCTGTGCCCATACCAGTTCAATCGGGTTTAATTCACAATGATATGGTGGGATCTAAGTACTGTCATTCCACGATTTTTGGCAATTTCATCAATTTCGTATTTTTTAAATTTTTCTTTATGAAGGGCACACAACGAATAAAGTTCCTTTCTTATAGATCCGGGATGGTACGTAATATTTTTTGAACTCAGCCAATTCTGCAAGTCTTTTTTTAACCACTTGGTTGTGGGCAGTCCTTCTATAAGTCTGGAGTGATAACTTGCATTATTCATTACTATTACACAGTTCTTAGTCAGAAGATCTATCATTTGTTCGAACCATTCTTGAAAGACATCAGCGTTCATGTCTTCATGGTAGTCACCGGTACGAGTTGATTTAAAAGTTAATAAACCACCTTCAACAAAACCGTCTGAACTGCCAATGTGTACTATTATCAGCCTGCGTCCCTTTCCTGATGGTGGGTTTAAACCAGTAGATGAGTTATTTACAAAAGCGTGCCTTTGACTTGTAACAGTTTCATCCTGCCAAAATTTATTTGGTGTATGACCCTCGTTGATCCATGTTTCATCAAGATAAAATATTTTTCTTTTTTGGTTTCTCATTTCCTTTGTGGTTCTTAGAAAATGTCTTCTCCATATGACAATATCGCTTCTTTCTAATAAAATAGACTTTCAGGGATTCTTTTTCCAGCGAAAGCCTATTTCTTTCAAAAGTTTCCATAACGTACTTCGACTCATTTCTGGGTAATCCTTATCATCTCGAACTGAGACAAGAACTTTATCCAATGTTGGAAATTCTTGTCTAAAGAAGAATTCATGCACTTTCCGTCGAAGTCCTTCTTTACAATGATATTCTATTTGAAATTTTGGTTTCCCTGGAGCGTTACGTGGCATTTGAAAACTACCACATTTCTCTTCTTTAATAACTCTGTAAATCGTAGATTTTCCAACACCAAGTGTACTGCTAACTAACTCAACGGTCTCATCAACACTTTCACATAAACGTTTGTCTGTAAATGATTTAAAACAATTAAATATTAATGTTTTTTCATTAACTGTTAAAGGACCAATTTTTCGGCGTTTACACAGCACTTACATAACACTAGTATACACAATAAACTGCACCTTGCAACTGAAGTACCTACTTTTAGTGAACTGTTAAGAATTTTGAATACGCCACTTGGACCTTCCTACAAAATGGAAAAACCCACTATCACATTTTCTGTGGAATAAGTTTAGAAGGTAATTATCTAGTCAATTACTGTCGTAGATTCCTGGAATTAAAGAATTAAATGTTTGATTGTTGAAACCCTTACTTCGTGGAATGCACTCATTTTAGATAAAATAAAACGTTTTATTTTATCTAAAGAATTAAACTTTATTTTGCAAATAGGTAGGTACTTAACTTTTATTGGTTATATATAACCAATAAAATAAACATCTTACATTTCTTGCAAATTCATTAGTGCCTGTTAACCTCCATCACTCCGACACTGGCAACCTTATTTAGGGATTAGTAACCCTCACAAGTATTGTATTCTATTCTGCTCCAACCTTTATACCTGGTGGTCATACTCAATTTAAAATTGTTTTCCTATATACTTCTGTAAACTTGTTGACAAATATCTGTTTTTCATTGAGTCACCCGTATCAACAGTTTAGGGATTTGCATACATAATTTATTGTTTTATTACACTCTCATACGTAAGAATACACTATAGTAGTTTCAGCACGCCACATGCCTTCTTCAGAGCGTCGTTTTATATTATTAACACAAAACACAATAAAAAAGCAAAACGTTAACGTCTCTCTTATAGGTGTGAAACCCCCTTAAAAATTGTAAAAATCACATTAACTCCGAACTGCAGACAAAAAAAGCACTTTTAATACTAGAAAGACGGAGGTGGTCATTTTCACCAATTTGCTTTATCAAAGCTTAATATCGAATGTCATACTCTGAACATAGTAGCTAATCTTCTTCTTCAAGTTCCACTCAATCGGAGATTAGAAATCATTTTGGCAATTATAATTTTGTTGGTTACGCGTCTGAATAGTTCAATTGAACTGCATCTATCTAAACCATTCACGGAGATTGCGTAGCCACGAGATTTTACGTCTTCCTACGCTTCTTTTACCTTTGATTTTACCCTGCATTATATTCCTTAATAGTTCGTATTTTTCACCTTTCATGATGTGCTCCAAGTATTTCAATTTCCTGATTTTTATGAAATTTAAAACTTTGCATTGTTTTCCTAGTTGTTTGAGAACTTGTTTGTTTGTTTTGCGATCCATCCATGTTATTTTCAGAATACGTCGGTAACACGACATTTCGAATGCTTCTAGGTTTTTAACATTGGATTTTTTAAGTGTCCAAGCTTCAACTCCATACAAAAGTGTAGAGAAAATATAACATCGAAGCATTCTTATCCGGAGCGATATATTGATATCGCGATTACAAAAAAGTTTTCTCGTTCTATTAAAAGTTGAGCGTGCAATTTCAATGCGGCATCTTATTTCTTTTGTCTGATCAGTATCTTCTGTGAGTTATGCTCCAAGGTATTTGTACGAAGATATTTGTTCAATTTCTGTATTATCTAGTACTAGCTTAACTTAGTTGTTCAGCAAAGTGTTGCAGTTCATCTAGTGTTCCTGCCAGAAGGACGGTGTCGTCAGCATATCTTATGTTATTAAGTGGCTCACCGTTTATTATAAGGCCCTCACTGATCTCGGCAAATGCTAATTCTAAGATGGCTTCACTATATAAATTGAATAAAAAGGGTGATAAAATAACCCTTGGCGGACCCCACGGCGAATTTGGATATCCTCGGTCACTTCATCAAGAAAACAAGCAATATTTTTGATTCAATTGAAAATACCAAACTGAATGATTACTTGTCCGCTTTGAGTCGTCTGATACAACCAACCCAGATCATCTTCTATTCAAAATTATCAAATAATAAAGTATGTATTTATTTAGTAACTACAAAACTAGCTGAGGATTTTATAAACAGAAATGAAAAAATGCAAATTGAAACCTAAGTTTCAGACGCCTAGGTTTCAATTTCCACTTCGGAAATCGTTCTTTTAGAACGATTTCCGAAGTGGAAATTGAAACGTCAATAAACTTATTTTTATCGTTAATTGTGGCTTATTCCCAGTTAAATAGTAATTAATTTACAATGCCACAAGGAAATAGCTTCAGATTCAAATATAGTCATAAAAGATGGTAAAAAGAGAAACATCAAATAAGAGGCTCTAATTATGCTAAATGAGACCAATATTGTGTCGCAAATTCTTCGGCGGAATAGTAGTACCAGTATTAGTAAGTTAGTAACAGATAGAGGATACTTACATCATTTACGTTTTTTAAATAACAAAGATATAAAATCAGAATTTGATGTTTATTGAAAGTAAACCAAATGCACGACCAGATACTTACCATGTCGGGATGGTACTATGAAGTTTTGTTTCCTAGTTTTTCCCTCATAATTTACTATGGATTCATTAACAGGAAAATTTTATCGAATAATAATAATGATAATAATGCTTTTTCTGACGCATATTCTCAAGTTAAAGTTGATTTCATGTAATCGAATGAACTATCTTACAAGTAAAGTCGTCCCAGGAACGCAACTCAACAATATTGGCAATATTATTTTAAAATCGTTTACTTTAAAATGTTTAATGTATGTCTAAATTCTCAATATAAATGAGTCAGATAAAATTAAATTATTACAAGAATTTTTCATCAAGTAACAAAAAAACAAAATTTTTTTAATTAACTAATGTTTGTATTTTGAGAACGATTTCCGAAGTGGAAATTGAAACCTGATGATCTTACCTTATCTTTTAATTGTGGCTAATTCTCATTTAAATAGTAATTACTTT